GTTTTGAAAACAAAGCTGAGCCTTTTGTTAATATAACTGGAGCTTGACTTGACTGCCTTATTTATGTTTGGCTTTGAAATTTTAAGAGCTTTTCGACAATTGGGTATTCGATTTTCAGTTCAACAGACATAGATCAGTGGTTTTCAAATTAAATCTGGGATTTGTCATTATTAGTTGCCATAAAAGCTTTTGATGCTCATTCCTAAGCTGCAGGAATCACACGAAGTCCACAATTCTCAACACAGGGGACACTGATAGCTCACAATAATTTATATAGAGAACTCAGATCCCATCTAAAGCTAAAATGAGGTCGAAATTCGAATCCAAAATGATCACAAAAAACCCATATCCCAAGCCCAAAAGAGACACTGACAGTTCCGTTTATTGACGATGCAGCCAGCAGCGATATCGTAAACGACTCATTCACTCTTACTGTTTTGCTGGGCAGCGACGAAATTGCGAATGACTTCCATTGCCAGCTGATGAGCAGTCTAGTTCTGCAGCTTTGCAAGCTCTTCCATGGCTTCGTATGTCTCTTTATCGGCGAAAGGCTTTAGGTTATACCTTGCCGCTGATTGCACTGGGCCTTCCCATTTGTCCACCAGCTCCTGAAGTTTTTCAGATCCCCGAGGAAGAGATCATCATACTCCTCAGTTTCCTAGGCCATGAATTTCATTTGGTCGTAGAGGATGTTTTAAAAGAACGACGATTAACGAGCAAAGAGAATAACAAAACTTCCATGTGGGTTGTGAAGTTGCCGAATGATTCTTTGGGTTGTCTTTTTCGTTTCCAGTAGTGGGCTCAAAAACTTTTTCAAGATCCTGAACTTTGACTTTGTTCATAAAAGTCCTTGCTCCTTGAGTTTGATTAGGTGTTCCTCCAAGCCAAATCTGATTTTAACAACTAAAAAAAAAACAAAATTACCAAGTTGTCCGACTAATTATTACCACAGAAAGGTATCATGTCAGATAATCAAACTACCTGATAGCTGTTCGGGCCATCACCAACCAGTCCAAGCTCAGCCTAGCGCAACCATTGGGGCAGCCAGTTACCCTAATCACCACAGATTCACTGTACTAGAGTCCGACCTGAAATTAGGCTGTGCCGATCTATTTATGATATTCAGATAATCATTCGAACTGCAGTTTTAGACCAGTTTTCTGGTTGGGGATAAGGGGTTCATTCATTTAATTTGAACATGATATTTGATAAGTAAATGACATACCTTCTCGAAGACAGCTCTGACCCGCTTGAGGATATCAGGTATGCCACGTTCAGCTTCGGTTATTGCCAAAGGGCAAAGTGGGAAAGCTGGGCATGCCATAGCTGTTAAGTTCAGTTTAGAATGCTGTTTCATAGAAAGAACCAGTCAGCTGTTCGTCTAATTCGACAAATGAATTATGACAAAATGGAGAGTAAGGCAAACAAGTTTGGTGGGATTCTAAGCAACAGTGTAAAGCCGTAATGGTTTGTGTGATCCCATACTAGCGGTCTTGTCTAGCTACTAATGTGCCATAAAATTATGCAACTCCTAAGTGAACTACCAATGCCAGCAGCAGATTTCTTCATTGATCAATTTTATTCTATCTTTAAAATCTGAGAAGCATAGTCATATTGGCAACCAACCCAATCACTAGACAAGGGAAATACGCTGAACCATTTGATTAAGAAGCTCAACTTTAAAAATTTTGCAAGTAATGAAAATCTCACCAGCAGCCCAGCTTGAGCAAGAACCTTGGTAATAGGACGCCTCCATGCACTGCGAAAGTCACACAAAATGAGGTTTTGGTTTTGAGTGATTCACACATTTAAATTATACTTCTCTCTTACTTCCCTTAGTGTTGTTTTTTTTTCATTTTTTTGTCCTATACGATCATTATCTACACGGAGCCCGCAAAATAAAGCACCATCTCCCTGCCAAAAGAGAAGGTCATATGCACGGTATTAAAGTTAAGGTTGACATCAGAACTGAAAACAATTATGGCATCATGTAGTATGATATCTCCAGATTAAAAACACAAACCTGCTCATGCCATCCCAAGTAACTCTTAAATTCCCATTCAGGCAGCTCACGGAAAGGTTCAAATTTCTTTCCATAATATTGCTCGACAACGCTTCTAAACTTTTCAATCCCCCAAGAGCTGATCAAATATTTCATTCTACTATATCTACGGTCATCTCTTCTTCCATAATCACGTTTTGTGGCAACAATGGCTTTAATAGCATACAAAATGTCCGCCTTTGGTACGTAACCGAGTGGTTCTCCCAATTGTGGGAAAGTGGTCTCCATCGTATGGGCTCTCCCCATGCCACCGCCAACCTGCAATAACAATTACGAGAAATGGATGCTTTTAGGTATATAAATTGTGCAAGATAATAGGGAAAGATACAATTTCTTTGATCCTACATTAGTCTTACATATATGTTGAAACCTTGAGGCTCCCCAATTTCATCATAAACTACCACAACACCGATATCATTTGTGAGAATATCCAGTGAATTATCAATTGGCACAGTCACGGCAATCTTAAACTTCCTTGGCAAGAGCTGTGTCCCATATATCGGCTCAGGAGAATCAGGGAAATTCGTTCCATGAGAATTATCATTCCTGGCTTTCACGACTTCCGGAGGTTCCGATGTCATGAATTTCTCCCCATCCACCCATACATCATAGTAAAAACCTGACTGAGGAGTTAATAATGCAGCAATATTATCAGCAGCTTCTTGTGCAAACTGGTATTCTTTCGTCATTAGTGGCGCAGTGGGAGCAAGCACATTCCTATTTAGATCCCCGCAAGCACCAAGGGTTGAACCCATGTTTCTAATAATGGTGCTCTTCACAGTCTTGAGGTCCTTCATCAAAACACCATGGAGCTGAAAGGTCTGCCTTGTCGTCAGTCGCAAAGTTCCAATACCGAATTGATCAACAAGATCGTCCATAGTCAAGTAGAGCTGGTTCGGGACTTTTCCACCGGGGTTTTTAGTCCAAAGCACGAACGAAAAAGACCTCGTACCACGCTCATCTCGGTTATACTGTTGATAGCTCCCATGGAACTTAATTAATTGCGTTGCAGCCTCGTTTATGTTCGGGGTATCAGTCAATATCTCCTCATTGAGGGAGTATCTAATGAAATTGCTCTGTTCTTTGAATATCTCAACTTTACTTCGCTTTGGTTCCGTGGCGCTTGTTTCAGGCTTCACTGGCTGTAAATGCAGTCAGAAATGAAATAAACGATTCAGCATTAAAGAAATCACAAATTTATAACAAAATGGATCTCATTTCACAGAGGAAAATGTGTCATTTTAATAGAAAAAGTCTCAATTGATCATTTGACATTAGCAGTTCTCAGAAGGCAATAAAGAATCAAATGTAATTAAGAAAAAATCTTCTTTTTGTGAAAGAAAGGAACAAGCTGAGAGAAAAGAAAGTGAAACGCGTACAAGTTGCAAAAAGGGTACAATGTTTTCTCAGACTTATATTTCAAACAACAATCAACATAAAATGAAATTAAATTATACAAAGAAAACAAAACAGACCGTGGAGACAGCTCTGATGAGAGTAGGACTACATAAAGGAGCGGGAAGCACGCGAAGATTCCTCGTAAAAGCTATTGAGTGTGAATATTTCAACCCAGTGAAGCTCTGGACTCGAATCTTGGGATCGGCCGGTACGACGGTACCCGTCGGAGTTCCAAACGACGTCGTCATTAGCTGAATGAAAAAAAAACAAAGCTTTAACCTTTGAATTTGATTTCCTTTAGAAAAAGAAAAGGTGAGTTCAAAATGAAGGAGAAAAGGAAGGGTAGAGCGACAATGGAGAAGGAGAAAGCAGAGAATTTGATGCTTTAATAGCGAAGTGGAGCATATTTGTGTGAAGTGCGATAAATAGCTTAAAATAAGAATCCAAGATCAGGTTTTTTACTTGGTTTTGCTACCTCGTTATGGGTCTGATTTAAGTCATTATACGGATAAAACCCCGTTTAATAATAGTTAAATGTTAAATAGATAAAAATTAAAAATAAATAGGAATTAATTTAAGTGGTAAATAATTTGATATCTTTTAAGTAAAGCCTTAAATTCGAGTTTTTATGTATGAAAAAAATCACTGTTGGGAGACGCACTTATAAAAGTCAGGTATATGATGATTATAGTCAAAGTGAACCCTTGGAATTAGGAGGACCAAAAAAATATATATATATAGATAAAAACTGAAAAAATTAACCACTGAAAAATGTGATTTCAATTTAACGGTAAAAACTAGAATTTTAGATTTTTCATTCCAACTTTGCATTTAAAAATAAATTTATATTTTTATCGTATGGGCTCCACTCAATCACTTGTTTACATTTTATTCTAAAAATTTTAATACCAACTTTCTTAAAAATAATTTATTACTTTTAATAATTTATTTTAATTATTTAAAAATAAATAAAATTCATAATTTGTAAATTAAAATATTAATAGTAAATTATATAAAATATGTTTCTATTATAATTATATATTTTTATTTTTATATTTTTATTATAATTTAAATTGATATAATTCATATATAAATGTCAATATAATTTAAATGTTATATATTTAATTTATAAAGTATAATAAATATTTTATCTTTTTCAAATTCACTTTTAAATAACATTCTTTAAAAGTTCGCTTTTTGTAATAGTTTTAAAAATTAAGTAATGCCAAACTCACCCGAATTACCTAATGTTAATGTGAATTTAGTGCTACATAACATTAGCACTGAACTTGGGCAGATTTACGTTTTACCCATCGTGTAGCAGTTAACTTAAAACGGCAGGTCTGTGGCGGCTATGGCGTTTCCCAATTAAAAATTATTTAACGAACATAATTAAAGCTAAATATTTTATTTATTATTATTAGTTAAAAGATATTTGTTGACTGACCACGTCTTGGCCGTCAACTTGGTCAAAGGTCAAAAAGAGAATTCAAAGATGGATGATCAACGGCCTTACTCTGATATAACCCAAATCCTGCCTTTTTGTTAAAAGATTACTGTTTAAGTTAACGTCTACCATGCTCATAGACACCGATCTACAAAACGAAACGCTTTTCAACTAAAAACGGCAAATAAAACCTGTGTGCCATCTTCTTGTTATGGAACCTTTTCCCACAAACCACTACCTTAACTACATACTATTCAGTTCTATTCAGCAGTATATGTACAAAAATGCAGGCTAGAGAAATTTGATAGAAGCAAAGAAGACGAAAACAATGTTCTTCTCTCCTCCCGTCTAACAGAAGCCAAGAATGATTTGCCGCCTCGTTGACGAAATTGCCATGATCGTGGTCGAGGACAAGTCTTGGAGTTCGACTGACCCTTCAGCTTTTGAAAGGGTGTCCTCCATTCTCCAGATAGCAAGTGGCCTGATTAGAGGAGATGTTACTGCCTAGTTTCTGATAATGACTTCTGCCATTCACATAGTGCGTGTCGTGCACATGTGACGCTTCTTGCAGGGTGAGGGTGGAGGTCCAGGTTTCTGCAGAATCAGTTTGCAAATGGTTCAGAACTGGAGGAACTTGGAGACTGAGATAAGGCAGGACCTGAACCTTCACATAGTGCGTGTCGTGCACATGTGACACTTGCTTCTTGCAGGGTGAGGGTGGAGGTCCAGGTTTCTGCAGAATCAGTTTGCAAATGGTTCAGAACTGGAGGAACTTGGAGACTGAGATAAGGCAGGACCTGAACCTGACCCTTTTGCTTCTCCCGTATCAATATCGGCATCTGTTTTCTTCGCAAAACGTCCTCCACTACCTCTTGCCCTACGCAAAGCATGCTGGTGCCTAGATTCGTGAAGATAGGGATGTAGGTTATGGGAAATGAGGTAATACACAGAGTCAGATGAAATGCACCGCAAATTTTAACAATAGAATGGAACAAATTTATCACAAAGTAGCTATTTGAACTCTAATAGGCAACATTTAAAATAATCTCTTCTTTAAACTGTCAATGATCTAAAAGAGTATGAGGTTTTTTTATATACCTTTCGGGATTTTATAACCTTCTCATCAAGTTCTGCTTTGGCATGGGCCTGCCTTCGCCTCAGGATTCCCCGGTATTGTTTAGCATTTACATAAACAGGCTCTTGCGCCATTTCAATCGGCAAAGTCATTCTTGCACGAGGCATTCCAACAAATGGGGGATAACCCCGGCCATAGCAAAAAGATAACCATTAGAAGGTGCACCATTTCTGGAACATGAGTATCAAAACAAGGTTCTCAAATGAAGAATCTTATTGCAATAATGCTCTTGATTTAGAGGATTTTATCATATTATAAAAAAGTAAACTAAGAGAAACATTGTGCAACATAGTAAAATAATGCTTCAGTTGGATTCCCTCTTCATTCCCTTGCATTCCATGTCAACTGTAGACACCCGTTTTTGTCCGGGTCTTTTCCATTTAATTTAATTTAATTATTGTTATTATTATATTATTATTATCGTTATTTTATTATATTTATTAATTTACATGTTACATATTTTGCAGGCCCAACAATGATCCGAAGCCCAATTACAACTAGCCATCCAAGGCCCAGTTTACCAGCAGACTAACCCCAAGCTGTTGACCCAAACAGCTGGGATCCCACCCACATATGACAACCCAATAATTTTAGGGTTTTCTAAACCCTAAACTGAAGCTCAGCCACTGTCTCTTCAACTTTCCAGCGCCGCCGCCTTCAACTTCTCAACTTTCCAACCGTGAGCCGAGTTGTCGCTGAGTTCCCGAGCCGCTCAAGCCGGATTCCCTTCACCGTGTAAGCCATTTTCGAGCCACCGATTCACCGCCATTCTCAAACCTGCACCAAACAGTGACCAAAAGCTCTCAACAGTAAAAAAATTAATCAAAAATCAAAACAAGGACGAGATCCCGAGGAAAATCGGGTCTACAAATCTAGGGCACTCAATCCCTATTTCCTCGGGCAGCAAACAAAGCTATCATCCATCAACCATCACACATGCATAAATAAAAGGAAAAGAAGAACAAGAGAGAGTTTTTTTGGGGTTGGGAGAGAGAAAAAAAAAACGAAAAAAACAGAGAAGAACATACCAGATTCGAACAAAAGAAAAAAGAAAAGAAAGAGAAAAATACACAGAGGAAAGAAAAGAAAGAAACCGAGAGAAAAAACCATCCATCCCATTCAAACCAAAATACGAAAGAAAAAAACAGAGAGAGGGGAACCCATACCTTGATCGGAGGAACCATCGGAAGTCCAAAGGGTCGTTGGAGTCTCGGTTTTCCGTGAGGTAAATCCTAAATCTAGGGTTTTCTGTTTGGATTTTGGGGTAGGGGACTTTAGATTTGGGTTGAGAGCTAAGAGAGGAACGTTGTGAGAAGTTTCGCTCTCTCCGGCCACCGTCGACCACCGCGAGTGCCGCCGTGAGCGCCACCGGCGGTGGCAGTTGGTTTTCCCTCCGATGAGAGAGTTGAGAGAGTTCTCTCTCACTCTCTCTCTCTGATTTTTGTCAAAACGAAAAAAATGAGAAATGGAGAAGAAATTAAGCTGGTTTTGGGCTTATATCTACAAACCAAAACGACGTAGTTTCAATGGGGACCAATCTGTAATTTCATCATTTGGGTTAACTACACGTTTAGTCCCCCGCTCTTTGTAATATAATTATTAAGCCATATAATGAAGTTATATATTATTTGATTTCGAGCCTTTATTTTTCCTTCCTTACATTTTAGTCCTGCTATTACTTGTTATGCTATTCTGGTTATATGTGACTTTGGTCCCAATATTTATAATTATTTCAATTTAGTCACGGGTTTTTGTGTATTGCTTATTTTTTGTGAACGTTCGAATTTGGATATGATATTTATGTATCTTACATTTTAGTCACTGATCATATGTTATGTTTTTTTATGTTCGAATTTGACAGCAACATTTGTAAATCTTTCATTTTGGTCACTGTTTTACTTTTGGTTTAATTTTTTATTCAGCCTTCATGTTTATATTTTAATGCAATCTAGTCCTAAGTATTATTTATGGGTTATTTATATTTCTGGTTCATGTATTATTTAATGTTTGCTATCTGGGCTCTTCTTTATTTATAATTATTGTTTAGCCTTTTAAGTTTCTATTATTTTCATCTTGGTCCCTAATCTTATTTGTGTATGATTTGCATACTGTTTAATATTTTGTTCTTGGCCCTGGATTATTTGTTTTATTTGTTATTTATTCCTTTAGGTTTTTATTATTTTTATTTTGGTACCTTAAAATCAAATGTGATTATTTATATTTGTGTTTAGATCTATAATATTTTATTTTATTCATTTAGGTATGATTTTATTGTACTTGTTATTCGGTTATTTGTATTATGTAAATAATGTGTTTAATTCCATTTAATGTAAATATTTGTATTTCCAATTACATTTATTCTCATTATATTTGTATCTATGTATGAAATATTTGATTTTCGATTTTATTTTCAAGAATACATATGCGTAGAATGAGCGTGGAAAGTACCACTTGGTCGAAGTGGTGTGATCCGGTACGGCATTTTAACGACATAGAAACTTGAAATAAGTTGAGTATATTTTGCTAATTAATTTGTTCAAACGATGCAATGTGTGTTATTTTAAGTGACAATTTACTTTATTTTATGTGAATGTAAATTTCAAAATTTTTAATTTGTATTCAATTCACGTTTTTAGTTAATCAATTTATTCGTATGTAAACATTGTTTTTAGTTATATTCGATTTGTATTTTTAACATAATCAATGGTAGAATATTCTTTTACGAATGAGAAATGGTTGAAATAGCTTTCCCGACGGAGGATTGCAAATTTCAAGATTTCTGATTGAGTTAAAGGATTTTCTTTAAATAATTTGAGGCAAATTAAATAAATCTCAATAAATGGATCATAGGTTAATTTTATATTCGATTTATCATTTCCATCATTTACGACAATGTGTACGCGACACAGTACCATTTTTGGGCGCTGTGGGGGTGCTTACCCTTCCCCACACGTAACCGACTCCCGAACCCGTTAAATTTGATTTCTGGTAAACGTAGACCATTTTTGTCTTAAAAAAATGATTTTTCTTAAATTTCTTTTAAAAAGACGTTTTTAGGTATTCGACCTACCTAACCCAAAGGTCGATGGCGACTCTATTCAATTTAATCCAAATTAATCCAAAATACTCAATTTTTCAAAATAAAAGTCATAATCGTTTTAAAAATAATATTTAATTGTTCCACCTAAAAAATGGTTATGACAGCTTGGCAACTCTGCTGGGGACCTTTTTTAGAGAGTCAGGCTGTATGTCGTTTACATATTGTCATCTTGGTGGAAATTATGATTTCTAGTTTTTAGTTAATTTATGATCCATTTATTGAAGTTTTAATTGCTTCATTTTTAATTATCATACTAACATTTTATCTTTTTTGCTTTCAGGCTCTGTCCAAGTTTTTGTCGAGTTTTTTTCTTTCTTTCTTTTCATTTTTAGTCAAAGGCAGGTATGTTCCTCCTCACACACATCACTCGCATTGGCATAATATAAGCTCTAGACACGAGCTTCGATCCAAATTAGTCGGGGTGAATGCTTTACTCTCGTAAGAATTTATTCTTCGTATGAGTTTTAGCAAATAACCCATGGGATACATACCTTATACCTTCGTAGGAATTTATTCCTCGCATGGGTATAAGGCAGTGAATCCCCTCGAATTGAACTCGTTCCGCTTGAAACCTGTAATGGGTGAGGATCGAGGGTTTGGCAGCCCAAGGGGGCATCGACATCAAGGACAATTTGAGTCCCCTTTCCTGTTAGAACCGAAACCATGCATATAGTGAACCGTAGAATGGTCACCCTAGGTATAGTTATATCGAACCTCTGTCCGTCAGTAGGTACCTAAAATAGGTGTACACAAAGGAGGAATGTTTCTAAACCCTTACCTTTTGTTTAAAGTTTGTAGAATATATTTATTCTTTTAGAATAAAAGCATGTGAACTAGATATCATGCGGTTAGGATTATTTTCTTGAAATTAAATCAATTTTGGGTAGATAGCATGTCCGGGTAGGATTGTTATCTATTGAAAGCATGTTTGGGTAGATATCATGATGGGGTAGGTGTTATATTCATCTCTAAATAATATTTTTATATATATCGATTGTCTTACCTGTACTAACTAATTTCTTTTCTTTTCTTTGTGTGCACTAACTTATTTATTTTCTGTTGTTTTTGTTTTTTTCATTCTTCTTTACATTGCATTGCATCATCATAATGCAAAAGTGTTGATCCGTAAGGGGATATTCGAGAGAGAATTTTCACAAGAAGAGATAAAAGTTTTCAATCAAGCGATCGCATACACAGACATGCATCGAGGGCTAAAAAGAAGTCCAGAGTACAAGAATGAGATTTTCTCGAAGATCGTGCATCATTCGAGACTGATATGATAATCCACTGATCTAAGGAGTAATCCAGCAGTAGATTCTCATCCACAATTATTCCATCGTTAACCATCAAGGAGTGAAGCACAAACTTCAGCATAGCCGAGGTATTAATGGAGTTAGTTTACAGAGCATTGAGGGGCATCGGTTCCAAGTACAAAGATCCGAGACAAAGCAGTGAGCTCGAAGATCGTGCAACATTTAAGACTGAAGTCTGGGGATTAATCCAACAATAGATTATTATTTACGATCGTTCCGACGTTATTCATCGAAGAGTGATGCACTGACTTCAGCATCGCCGGGGCATTAAAAGAGTCTGTTTACAAAACGCTTGAGGGGCATCATTTTCAAGGATGAAGATCCAAGATGAAGCAGCGACCCATTTCAGATTCAACATCTGAGAGAAGTCAAGTCTGTAAAGTGGACTGTCTTGTAATGTGAAAACTTTTATTTCTAGTGAAAATTGTTCTAAAATATTCATTGTTGGGATCAACATTTCTGCATTTGCATTTGCATCGTTGCATTTTGCATAACATTCATTTAAGCATGTTTACATGCATTAATCATACCTTGCTGGAAACTTTGAGGAAGCACTTCTAACTGTGCAATTGCATTCACACAGTACTGAGAATGGATGCAAAATTTGAGGAATTAAAGAAAGAGCTGAACGAGAGTTTGCAAAAGATGCAAGTTGAGTGGGAGGTTAAAATGGAGCAGATACAAAAGACCATTGTGGATCGTATCCTGCAAAACCAAAAAGACCTAGTTGGCCAAATGGTAACAAAAATGGATGAGCTCAACCAAGGAAGAAGCAAAGAGAAGATTTCCTCGACCGGAGGAACCTCCGAATGTGTGATAGCCCACGCTAATCCCCAAATAATTATTTCGCCCCATAAGCTTCCAAGCCGCCATATAAGCTTATCAGCTACTAAAGCTCGTACAAATGTGATAAATCTT